CTATCAAAAATTATTCATTGAAATTTGTTAACAAATATCAGATATTAGCTCACATCAAGGGCAGATCCAGAGGTAGGTTTCGGGAAAGGGAACTATCAGGGTGACCAAAAACGTTTGGAGAAATACTACCTTGTGTGTGAGAGAAATTTTAATAAATTATTCCTGCCAAACAAATAATAATTTATTTATTGCTAATAGATACATACTAGTGTATATAGGTATGCATGTGGTTTTTTGCTTAGTTTTAATTTTCTTATTTTTAGGTGTTTTTATTTAATTTATTATATATACTTTTTGATTATTATTTTGCTTCTATTTATTTTATATTTTTTGGAAATATAGTGTAAATGTTATCCTACCTCCCTATTACTAATGTCTAATACTCATTAAAAAAAAAAAAATTGATACATATATTTTAAACAGTTGTATATTTTTTCTCAATGGTTATTTTAAGAGGGAAAATCGAATTATTGTTATTTTCCCCGCCTAAGATTGTAATCGTAAGACTTGTCTGCTCGTATGTATAAGGCTTTTAAATTCTTTTTTTTTTTCTTAATTCGCATTAAGAAATAATTTTAAGAATAAAATAAATTAATTTCGTTTTAATTTGTAAAATAAATTAAATCATTAATTGATTTTATTAATGCAGTTTTTCGGAATGGGTATGAATCGTGTTTAAAACAGGTGGAATGTTATTACGGTGAAACTGAAATACAATAAGGATACATGGTAATAATTTGTTTATTAAACACTCCCATGTTCTTGCAAAATGTAGTAATGTACTTTTTTGTTTATTTAGAAATATTACATTCTGTCACATCAAGGACATTTATAATAGTGTTCAGAGAAAGCACACTCACACTCTATTTACAATAAAAAAAAAAATAATAATAATACAGAAACTTAATAATAATAAATACAATAAATAAAATAAAAATAAATACAATAAAATAAAATAAATGTATATAAACAAAAGAACTAACCTAATCATACACACTCGGGCTTGAGTGGAGGATCTGGCCATTGCCAAAACTCCAATAGATGCTTATTTACAAAAGGTCTCTGGGCCACTGCCGCTTCAACCTTCGAGGAGGATTGTAAGGATGGGTGGTGCTGGATAGAGATTGTGCAAGGGGATTTGGATGATAGGTAAGGTTCTGGTGAAATTTGGAGAATTTTTCTGGAATAAGGTCTAGGACAAATGGGATATTAAGGTCATGGTGTAGGATTTTGTTATTTACATAGAACGGAGCATCAACTATTGTTCGAAGGACTTTAGATTGAAAGGATTGAATACGTTTGATGTTAGAAGCTTTTGCTGTACCCCACAGTTCAAGTCCGTATGTCCATATAGGTTTCAGTATTGTCTTGTAGATAAGTAATTTGTTTTCAATAGAAAGTTTGGATTTTCTGTTTAGTAGTCTGTATAGCTGGCCGTATCGTCGGTTGAGTTCTTGTCTTTTGAGTCTAGTATGTGGGTTCCACGTCAGTCTTCGGTCTAAATGAAAGCCAAGATACCGGACTGTGTCTGAGTAAGGAAGCTGGATGGAATTAAAGTGTACTGGTGGACAGGAACTGCGTCGGAGTGTAAAGGTAATGTGTTGGCATTTAGATTCATTAACTTTAATGCGCCAGTTATTACACCAGTGCTCAATCAAGGTGAGGTGGTTTTGGAGATTTAAGGATGCTATGTTGGGATCTGAGTCGGATGATAGAATAGCGGTGTCATCAGCAAAAGTTGCCAGGAAGGTATCGGGATGGACAGGGATATCGGCGGTAAAGAGGATGTAAAGGACGGGACCCAATACGCTACCTTGAGGAACACCTGCCTCAATTGGATAGCAATGCGAAAATTCAGTACCGCAACGAACTCGGAAGGTACGATCTGAGAGGTAGGAACGGAGAACAAGGTACAAGGACTGAGGAAGATAGTTTTTCAGCTTGGAAAGAAGCCCGGCGTGCCATACCCGGTCGAAAGCTTGAGCTATGTCCAGAAATGCACCCGAGCAATATTGCTTGCTTTCCAATGCTGCGGAAATATGATCAACCACTCGGAGTCCTTGTTGGACTGTAGAGTGTTGTGAACGAAATCCGAACTGATGGGAAGGAAGAGTTTGGGATTCTATAAAGGGTAGGATGCGTTTTAGGAGGATCTTTTCAAAGATTTTTGAGAGAATAGGAAGAAGGCTAATTGGTCTGTAGGACGTTGAGGTGTTGGGAGGTTTGCCTGGTTTCGGAAACAGGATAATAGTGGAATGTTTCCACAAAAGAGGAAAGTGGGTGGTTCGTAGGATGCTATTGTATATGTATGTAAGGAATATGACAGCTTTAGGAGGGAGTTGTCTAAGGATCTGAGAGGTAAGCAGGTCGTATCCAGGTGATTTACGGGTAGGTAGTTTTTGTAAAAGGAATTTGACCTCAGAAGGATTAACTGCTTTAGGCGGTAAGGAGAGTGGGATGGGTGAATTAAGGAATTCCTCTACTGCTGACGTGTGGGTGGGATTGGATTCTGGATGAGAGGTGAATGTAAGGGAAAGGTTTTTGGCGAATTCTTCGGCTCTATCTTCGTCAGATGCTGCCCAAGAGCCATCACCTCGACGGAGAGGATGTGATATGTGATGGGGTTTTAGGATATGTTTGGTGGTCTTCCATAGGGAATTGTCATGAGAAGAGAGGGAAGTGAGGTAGGAGTTGAAGGATTGGGATCTGAAGGTGGCCAATTCTATCTTTAGTTTTTTGCAAAAATAATTATAGGATTGGCGATCGGTGGGGTGTCTAGTACGTTGCCATAATAATCTGGCACGGCGTTTGGTATGGATTAAATGTATATGCGTAATCATAAACATGCGTACTCCCATGTTCTAAATGTAAAAATCTCTTGCCAGAATAGCATGTACATTATTAGCAAGCAAAGAGTATAAATTGATATCGCAAATATAATAATAAATATTGAAGTAATTAATGGTGGAGAAATAACGTAAATATGTTTGAGAGCGAGATTAAGTTTGTTAAGGAGATTAAGTTCCATATTATTTAAGAAAGGTAATGCAAAAGTTACTTAAATAAGGAGCTGTTATTTATGACAAACGGGAATTGAATAAGCTTTAGAAGTTAAGTAACTCTGAATGGAGTCGGCTCTTTTGACTTTATCGGTGTCCACCGTGCCTTGTAATTTGGGCTTAGTTGAAATTAAAGGCTTTGTCGAGGATATTTAAGTGCCTACTTTACAATACTAAAATTTAGTCCTTTTCCTAAGTATTCACATCATTTGGACAATCTTAAAAACAAAGAGAAACAGCTTTTGGTGACAAGAAAACAGCCTATTTTTGTATTACTTTTGAAATTTTCGTTTAGTAAAATTTTTTTAGTTTAACTTATGACTGTATATTTACATAATTTTACTATTATGAACACATGACACCAGCCAGTATTATTCAAGATAAAGAAACGATTTTTTACTGATGGAATACCTTATCGGGGAGTACCTGTAGAGGATATTATAACTGTCATCAAACAGAAAATGAAGACAAAATGAGAAGAGATATGGTCGAATGTAACCGAAAATAAATTGAGGGAGGTTAAGGGTGACGTTTCCTCTTGAGCATCGTCAAATAGGAATAACCGTAGAGAGGAAGTAGTTCTTACGCGTCTGCGAATAGGTCATACACGCCTTACCCATGGATACCTGATGGCCCATGATTCTTCGCTAACATGTCAAACTTGTGGTACTCCTCTGACAGTGAAACACATTTTAACGTAATGCAGAACTTAGGAAACGTTTAGACTCTCTTGTGACTTGACAAGCAATTTACACTCCATTTTGCAGGACAATACGAATGAGGTTGATAAACCATTTTCGTTTCTGAAACGTTCTAAGCTTGAAAATAAAATCCAATTCTCAGTGAAAATAAGGCAATAATGGACCCAAGTGGTTGAAGCCTTAAAATATATATAAAAAAAGAAACGATCATGTGAACATATGTTTTGGACCAGGACTTAGAGGATCTCAAAAAAAAAAAAAAAAAAAAAAAAAAAAAAAAAAAAAAAAAAAAAAAAAAAAAAAAAAAAAAAAAATTAAACTTACATACATATTGGAACTAGTTATAAGTTCATATCATCAATTTGTAGTACGATGATAGTTGACCAATTGATTTTTTTTTAATTTTGGCATAATGTAATCCAATTTTATGTATGTAGGCCACAGATCATTCATATACATATTTGGATGAGTAATAACGTTATTCGTTTACCAAACCTTCATGATAGATTCTCTCTAGAGCAACAGGATTTTTTTAATTAGTAGCCATTTTGTAGCTGTGAGACAATTTAAAGACAATTTTTATTAAACAACTTGACGATTGGTGAGTACAAAAACTACTCAGCTATCCAGTGAATACTTTCTATTTTCACATTTACTCAGAATTGTTTTACTTTGTGTTTTTTTTTTTAAAGTAATCGAGTACTTTATTCGACAAATTGCAGGACTGGAATATTTCATATTCCCTCAATATTTATTTCCATTCTTATTTTACAGAGGATAAAGCTTTTAAAATACTATAGTTATTAACGAAAATCAATAACTTATCGACTTATTAAAATATTTCGGATTTATTCGATATTCAAAATCAAATGTTAGTAACCATAAATACATAATAATCTAACGAAATAATAACTAAATGAAATACTAATTATCACTCTTACGCTTATTGCTACTTGACTAGCTGGGATAGTCTAGTTACACCGAAATATTTTTTTTTTCAAAAATAATAATCTTGCACTTATTTTTTTGATCAAGAAAAGTGATAAGATGATACTGGAGTTTTTTTAAGTAGAAACTTTGCAAAATTTAGCTATCGAATATTGCTGGTTATAAATCACAAATAACAGTTTTATGAAAGTAACTAGAGGACTTATTTTGAAATCATAACTTATTTAGCACAGATTGCCTTAGAGAAAAAGAAAATTGACACAGAGAAACTTGATTTACAATAATCGAGATTGAAAAAAACATTGAATTTAGAAATATTTATTGGATGTGTAATCCAATATTGTTTCAGATTTTATTCGATGTGAATATCTGGTTCCACAACATCAGGGTACTGGTAGGGAAGGATGAGGTCCACATCAGTTATACTACCCGCTGCCTTCTCGACAGGGGGTTGTTCGTCGACGTACTTCTTGTACTCAGCGATCCTGGCGAGCCGTCGCATGTTGGTCAGAAGTGCGGCTACCGAATTGTGCAGGCACTCGTTGTCGCAGGCCATGATCTCCATCAGCCTCTGCAACAGTCAACAAGTCTTGTCACGATTATAAATAAAATATAACATGAAATCTGCACTTCATTTACTACGTTATTATAGATCTCTTCTCTTCCTCTCAGTAGCTATGAATTTTAATGAGTGAGATGCAAACAGAAGGGAATTCCATAAAGATGTAAGGAATCACTATTTCGATCTTTAAAACACCACAACGTCTTTAATATTAATCAAAAACAATGTAGTCGTTATAATTGTTGTTGGAAGCCTCTTGATAAGGTGATGAGACATACTTAGGAAACAAATTAAAATAATGCTAATTATGAGCCTGCAACGAACTAAAATTCTATTGAAAAGATTGATAGAAGAGACTGGTTCTGAGATCCTTGGTGCACTTCAGATGATATAGTAAACTTATTCTCAGTTTTAATCGCCAAACTTTTTGGGATGATAATAGGCGAAATTTCCAACAAAAAAGTTCATTTGATGCATGGGCCGATTCTAATTGTAAGTGGAGCTAAGACTAATTTTATATTTTTCTTAAAGTAGTCCCATTTTTTATTGCATTAGAAATAATTGCGCAACAGTTTAAGATAATTGAGTTCTAAGTACATCACTGTAAAGTAGACACATTTTTTTTTGAGAAAACAGTGATTAAATTTAGTACGGTCAATAATAAAAAGGACTTTCAGGAAGTCTAATACCTCCGCTGTTAACAAATATGTAGCTCGTGTATGGGTACTGTAACTGCAGCAGTAAAGCTGCCGTATTGCTGATTACGAATACTTCATTTGAAAAATTACAGAAGTAGAATAGTTTATATTTCTTCATAATTTATGTTCATTCTAATGCTATGGAGGATATACTTTTTTTTAAATACTGTTGATATTAACCTAAACAATAACTTATCAACTTATTAAAATATCTTGGATTTATTCGATATTAGGGTCCATTGTTATGACATCGGAAACGCTTTATGAAAATATTCTCGAATTTGAGATGAAGCAACCACGTATTTTGTAACTTTTCGGATTTAATCGATATTAGGATCTACTATTATGTTGTTGGGAATGCTTTTTATGGAAATACCGTCGGATTTGAGATAAGATAGAAGAATTAGAGAAATATTACGTAGATATCTAAAAAGAGGGCTTGAAATGATAAGTTAACTGTTATTTTCTTAATCAGATCTGATATTTAGAAATTAGAATTCCTTTCAATTGAACCTTTCAGGTACAAAATAATACATTTTTAATTGGTATTTAAGTAGATGTGCAAGAAAATTTCTTTAGGATGGCTAGGGTTATTTATTTTTTATTTTTAATTTTTTTTTTTTTTGGTTTAATTTTTGTATTCACACCTGTCATAGTGATAATGACAACCAGTGAATGTAAGGTCGTTGAAAAAAAAAAATGTCATGAAAGGCATTACGAGGATCAGTGCCCAGCGGCACCTCACTCGGCGTGATATCTACATTTAGGCGAGGAGGTCCCTCATCTAGTTCCTCTTCAGTCTCCTACAGACGTTACCTGGTATATTCGTAGTGGCCATGTCATTTATAAGTGTATTAGGATGTCCTTGTAGGTTGTCAAGGAATCGTTTGTAATTAGTTCGTATGTGTTCGTTAACAGTCGGCATATGGAGGTCAGTATGTAAGGTTATGTTGCTAACGTACCAAAGTGCTTTTGTAATTGCTCTGAATGTTTTTGCTTAAAAGATTTGAAGTTTGTTTAAGTGAGTCTTTTTAGCAGTTCCAAATATCTGTGATGCGTAAGGCCAAATAGGTTTTAGTAAGTAATGATATGTGTTCAATTTCTGTCTAAGTTTTAGTTTTGAATTTTTCGAAAGAAGTGAACTCAGAATTCTTAACCTTTGATTTAGCGTTTTTCGTTTCTTGATTATATGTGGGCCCCACGTCATTTTTCTGTCAAATGTCAGACCAAGGTAGTGAACGGTGTCTGTCTGTGGAATTAATTAAATAAAATAAATTAAATTGTTATTTAAATCTTTTTATTTTTTCAAGTATATATGTTTATGTTCAATATATGTGATCACGAACTTACACATGATATGTTATGATACTAATAAAAAATTGACAACACTTAATATAATAAAATATGTAAAGGACGATGTTTGTCTCGAATACTCCATCAATTTTAAATATTCCTTTCTTAATTTAAATTTTCCTAACAATCTATCATTTATTTAGATTTATTTCTACAGTATTTCTGAAGATACATTTCCTCAGGATTAAGGTATTTTTTTTTTTGTCGGAATGTTTTTTAATTGAAGTATGTTTTTTTATTTAAAATATTTTAGTTTTTAAAGTATATATATTAAATCAACGACAAATTGAGAATCTATAAAATATAATAAATTCTTTTTTCAATATTTTGAACTCAAATTATTTTTAAACAATCACTAGATCTATCTAGGTGAGTAAATTGAACCATTTAACTTAAAAACTGGTTTGTACTGTATTGTATTGTAAGGCTTGTACTGTACACATTTTTTTCCTTAGTAAAATCTTACAAAATAAATGTCAAATTTTTATTGCATATCATCAATATAATTATTTTATTATATTGACTGTCTTCATTTTTTTTTTCTTCATACCTTCCTTATAGAGCTAATTAGATCTTTAGGTAAGTTGTGAAGAAGGACTAAAAATGATAAGATAAAATAGTTACGATGATAAATCCGAACTGTTGTTAAACGAATAACCCGCAAGCCTATTGATAAGCTCTTGTTTACAATTACTAAAAATGTTAATAACTGATTAATGGTTCCTAATGAGCCAAATTTACTACCTGTATCCTGTATGTTTGTTTAAACGATTTAAACAAAACCTCGATCACTAAATATTTATATCAAGGTAGAAAATGCCATAGATTCAGTTGAGTGGGGGGGGGGACCTTTATCTAAAGAATAAAACATTTATTATCGGAGTTGGCAATAAGAAAATGGAGGCCGCTATGCAAACAAGGGTTATTTCGGCAAATTTACATATAGATGGAATCTTGATGCAGGTGAACAGGTATAAAAAAACACATAAAACAATAAGTCACTTCTACATTCTTCGACTATACATGCAAATCCCCTTGCCCCAGTTCAATGTACTAACATACAGCAACATGTAGGTCGAAACTTCCAGAGTTGTAAACCCTCCCCAAAGCCTTGCCTCTTCCAGGATACATTTTTACGGCCTCATGTCCAATTTTATCCATCAGATGATTTATAAATACTGCTTATTAAATATATATATTCTAAAAAATATTTTATATCTTATATTAATATAAATGCATCCTTCGTTTAAATTTACTCTAAGGAGACCACGTATTAAAAAGAAAAGTAACATAAGAAAGGGACGTTACGGACGTGGGGTCATTATTGTTTCCTTCCTTT